TTATAGGTTCTTAGGGGTATAGGTATGATTACAGCTTGAATTTGAGAATAGTAGATGTGGGCCTCCCTAGTTGCGGCCTCCATGCCATATGTCTAATTCGTACTACAGAGCTACTGAGTGCTGCACACAAAACTGAAGGGCACTGCCGCGCCAAGCGATCAGAAGGGTACAAGGAATGCAATATGTCAATATGTCACCTTAGGCGTGCAGTAGCAGTCCAATTACTGGTGTGCTTGTGGATATCCCTGCACTTTGCATCTAGCCGCCATGGCACAGGAGCAACCTAGGTAACACTGACAGCCCCCTGGACCACGACTTGGGCACGATCCCACGCATCGAACACAGATCTTTGAGGAAAGCATAACGCAAGGGTCGAAACACATTGACCTCCACGAGTCAGGGCCGAGCGCTCGAGAGGAAAAAATCGAGACTCCAACTCAACTCCAATGCCTCTGGGTTGTCAGAGGCTTTTGCTGTCGCTGCTGGCGCTCCTAGCAAGGTCTGTGGGGTGGAACTTTGAGCAAGGGAGACTTTGTTCCCAACCTCTCATCAAGGTGCCACAAACCGAGGAACTTGTAACCCGAGGCTTCAAGCCGAAGGCACTTGAGATGTTCAATGCTTCAAGTTCCAAGAACTGCATTCTAAGTCTTTAAGTTGTGCAGAACGTGGGTTGTGCACGTCGTCCTGTCCCATCGGCTGGAGCAGGAACCAGCTGGCCTTGCTCTTGGACGTTGCGCTTTCTCACTTCTGACGACGGGTAGTCAACTGGGCATACTAGGAAAATCTAGGAAACATGATGCAACCTCGATGTGTACGGTACGCACAGCAGTTACAAGTAGTTGTTGATCTCAGGCACATCAACGGGAGGGTCTGAATGTGTGGTCGTGCCCCTGAAGCATGTATTGAGTGTGGCCAGAGTTGCCGGCACCGGGTGCTCGTTGGAATAGTTCTCTAACCCTGTCGCTGCCAGCCGCATCACAGACAAACAGTGTAAGCTCAGGGGCCTTTCTCGCTGTCCCAGACGAGGTTGACCTCACACACGCAAACAGAGAGTGTTGCATGGATAGCTCCGCGTCGTCACCCGCAGATTGTTGTCAACGTCTGGCCTGCGACTTGTCAGCCTGAGCCGCAGCGTCTGCGGGCGCCTCGCGACAATGTGTGACTTTGACGGTAGTGTGTACAGTTTGCAAGGGCTGCGCCAGTTGTGGGAGCGAGGGGGCAGTGGCTTCAGTCCCCAGATGGTTCCTCTGGTGAGGCTGTTACGGTGCCGCAATGTGCCCCTCTTCCGTCTTACGAATGCAAGCAAACGGCATTGTGAACCTCACCACGGCAACGCCGGCGGCGGCGCCGCCGCCATCACCCTACACCACTACCCTCACCCTACATCGTCATGACATGTCATGACCCTCCTCCGCGTCCTCCTACCAACACCATCATCATCCTCGACGGCATCAGCATCTCATCATGATCATCAGCACCATCATCACCATCATCAATCATCACTATCAACATCATCATCAACATGATCATCATCATCATCATCAACATCATCATCATCATCATCAGTATCCAAGTCTTCGATAGCAAATCCTTGCTGTCCTTGTTGACGTCGTCGCGCAGATCGCCGCCAGGACTATTGCAAGCATCGTCATCCATGTACGTGCACAAGAACACAAGACGAATCGTTCGCCTTCACGCCCGGGATCAATACCCAACACAAGGTTTAGATTTTAACCTACCCTCCCAAAGTCCTGTAATCCCCAGTGCTGGGGCCTCTTCGTCCGAGTCGCGCTCCTCCACGGCAGCGGCAGCAGCGCGGCGCCGGGAGGTGGGCTGGGGTGCCTGATGCAAAGAAGGTAATTATCTAGAGTCTAAGCCGAACTCGGGCTTGACGGATTGGCTGGGTCCGTGGCCTGTGGCGCAGGACGTGCTAGGGCATGCATGTTCTCTCTGTTTCTGTTCGGTGCAGACACTTCGAACAAACGAGAAACCAAAGACTATCTATCTATCTATCTATATATATATATAATTATATGTATGTATGTATATATATATATATACGCCTTCACAACTGCCATAACTATATATACGCCTTCACAACTGCCATAACCAGAACTTAGAGCCTTCGACCCTCTACATCTCCAGAAGAAAATTCCAAAATGACACTCTCAAGCCCATGTAAGCCAATCCAACGCAAAGCACTGAATCGCAAGCCCTTGTTCAAGTTATCAGCCTGCCTGGTGCAGTGCCGCCCCACCGCGCCAGTCACCCGAGAAGCTCGGGGTGGTCGGTCCCTGACGAACCGCGCACGCACAGGGGCTCGAAAGCCGGCTGTCCATGTGCATCATACGAGTATATGTAACAATGTAACTTCGGCAATCTGTTCAACTCTATGTTTCGACTCTAATGCTGGGCAGTGAAGGCAATACAGCGCAGCAAAAACTGGTCCGGTCTGAACTCGTGTCAGCACAAAAGACAGGTCACCCTTCACAGTCACGGCAGTCATTCAAACTCAGCAATCCCGTATTCCATTTCTCACTGCCGAAAGACCGACCAGCAAATAATGCTTATACTGCCCAATTTATGAGAGCCGTTTGGACCTCACTGAGTCTCTGTGCGGAAGTTGCCGAGGGGGACAGGAGCCTCTGTTCGACAGGTGAAGCCATCGAAGGGCAGCTCACCAGTCATCCAATACTGCTCCAAGCGGTTCAAGCAGGGCTGCATGCCGCTGTTCGGATAACTGCCCTCAGGCAGGAGGCAATGCCCAACACCCTGCCAGGTCATCATCACAGCATTCGGCAGGGATTCACGCATGTGGTTGCTCCAGGTGTAGCTGCAAGCTGAGTCGTACAAATTCCCCACCACGAGTGCCCGCACGCCGGCACGGAAGCCCGTCTGCACTGGCACGGGTTCCGCCTCCCAAGAGAAGAAAGCGCTGAAGATCCCAACGAAGGAACTGGTAGCCATCTCCTCCCATTCAGCCCGGAACGTGCGATACACACCCATGGCCTGGGCAACCGTAAAGCGACCGAACAGGTCTTGACCGAGTACTGCCCCCTCGTTGACATAGCCATCAAGACTTTTCGTCCCGGCTTTGGCGTCGTAGCTGGAGAGGCCAAGAGACTGTTGGCCGATGCAGGCGCCGTAGATCCTCCACGTCTTCAAGCCACTCCAATCGAAGGGGTATCCCGCGGGCAGGCTGCAGTACCGGTCCAAGATCTTGGCGACCTGATCCACCCGAGCTTCTTGTCCACGCATGCCCGCAAGGTTCGCGAGTGTCAGAACAGGCTCCGCCCAGCCCGTAGGCACATAACCTGCCTGGTTCATTTGTTCCTGGATATAACCCTGGAGCAGGCCGATCGTCAAAGGGAAGCTCTCGTTGCCGCCCAGTGGACTCGGACGGTTAGTGGGGGCCGTGAGCCGCCTGGCCCTCATCTCGCCGAGTAGACCCTTCCATGCCTTTGTCAGTGACATCTCGTCGCTGAAGTAATCGCAGGGATGGGTCGAGGTCCACTTCACACACAGCCGCTCCAAATGCCCGAAAGCCTGCGTTAACGCCATCCCCTGCCCTTTCGCAAAGTCCAGGGTGTAGGGCACTGGTGGCATGTTGCCGTTGATTACCATCTTGCCAACTCGCTCGGGGAACATATCTGCATACACAGCTGCCACCGCTGTGCCATAGGATATAGCATAGAGGTTCAGCTTTGGCGCGCAAATGCGGCTTCGGAGGAAGTCGATGTCATGGGCCAGCATGCGCGTCCCCGACCACTCGAGGAAGTTGTACTTCTTCCCTCTCGGTCCGGTCAGGATCCACCGGCTGTCGGCCGCACATCGGCGGGAGCGGAAGGCCATACCTTCGAAAAGGACCTCAACCTGCGAATCATTTTGGGGGTCCAAATTCGCAAATGATTGGCCAACCAAAGGCGTGCCATCTGGCAACGCACACTGGCAGTCGGTGAAGTCCGAGATCTCGTAATGCAACTTGCCGTTGGCAGGCAGCTTCATGTGAAGCGGATCGCACTCGAAGTTGGGAGTGGCGGTGACTCCGATGCCACGCTGTGAAATCGAAATCCCCGCATAACCAGGGATGTTGTCCCCCAACAGAACACAGGTCGCATCACTCCCGGGGCCCCCACAATGCTGCAAAACAGGCTCCGCACCCCCCGGAGACACCCTCAGCATCACCAGAAGATCCAAGAAGGGCGTGTCATCTTTGTCTTCGACATGAGGGCTCAAGGGCACCGTCAAGTTCCCTGTGTAAATAGTGTCGTTCCCCAACTTCTGAGACTGTGTCCACTTCAGACCTTCCATAGGATGAAGGAGGTCACAGCCTTCGGCCTTGAAGCGGCCCCAAGCATCTTCTGCACGTCTCTGTTCAGACACCAGGATCTGGAGAAACCACAGCAGAAGGGAGAAGCTGCAATTCGCAATGTATGCCATGCAGCCAGAATGTACGTGGATTTTGTAAACGACCCGGGCTTGCCTACAGCTCACCCCGAGCTTGAGCCGTACCCATGTTTCAGCGATGATGTAGCACGGTCCTGCCGGCCATCCAAGACATCTTACTGGAGGCTGCAGAGACATGTCCGTATGGTGCGAACTCCTGCGTTATGAGTGCATGTAGACTGAGTGTGCGAACGAAACAGAAGCAACCTACAGGCACCTTCCGGGGCTTGCTGACGTCGATGCTGAAGTCCCAAGCCATGGCGAGAGACAAATGACAAAGTATACAATTCCTTTGACATTCCGGTTTTGAAGGGCTGGGTTGCGGTTCTTGATGCTGCATGTGGCTGCTAGCTTGGCGAATGTGTTGGACCGAGGTTTGGAAGGTCTTGCGCTGGGAAGTTTGGGGAGTAGCGCGAGGCGAGTGGACGACTTTGGTGGAGTTGCCGAGCTCGCTTGTGTGGGTTCCGTGCTTCTGTTTCTCGGTAGGGTTAGGAGCGAAGGCCAGCTGTCGACATGCTTCTCCTAAGTACTGCCTTTACCTGCGATTCAAGAAGTGGCAGCGGACACGCGGATGGCTCGCAAACCGGCACAATCTTGATTGTGACATCATGGTACGAAGATCCATCTCAAGTTCAACCATAATCATGATCAACGTTAACATCGTCCTCATTACTGGTGATGGTGCGGCTACTGCCACGGCGACTATATCACAGCAAAGATCTGACCGCTTGCTCCTGCTTCTGCTGCTGCTGGAACCCCCTCGTTGTTGCTAGTATCGCGGCACTGTTGCAGACATATATATATATATACATATGTATATATATATACATATGTATACGTATACGTATACGTATATGTATATGTATTTGTATTTGTATATGTATGTATGTATGTATGTATGTATGTATATATACACATACACATAC